CGCCGCGCCCCGCCGCCCAGGGAAAGGGAGCTGATTGCTCTCACACCACTGATTCGAGGGGCGAAGCTCGGCTGTTCCCCGTGTTATTGATTCCTTGACGGATTCTTACACCCCGAATCTCTTACCCTTTGGGGATTCCGTAAGCGAATGTTCCGCCGGCATGATGCATCGCCTAATAAACGGCTCGAACACGTTCAACAACTATTCGGATTGCTAAGCTGCGTGAAACAATTCGTTTTCGCGGCGCGCGCGTCTCTAAATCTCTCGCGCTTCGACGAACCTTATTACCGGACGCTGCACTTCTCTGCGTGTTCTTATTTCCATTAGTTAACCCTTCGCACTCGAGGCTATTTTAATTCCGAAATGAAGACGTTTCTTCCTACCTACAGTAGTTCCATTTGGTACGATCGTTTTTATTTGACGCGTAGGAAATTGAACGCGTTTGCTCGTGGAAGACTTCTATTATTTGACGAATAGTTATTAAATTTATGGAAGAACGATGTCTTTTCATAAACAATTGTGAAATTTGTAAGAAGTACTTAAATATCTTCAAATCGTCGCGAATACCAATTATCCAATTGTCAATCCGCACCAATGAATTTGTTGATATTACAAAGCATCCATTGCAATGTTGTGACTCCAATTAAATATTATATACATTAAAACCTATTTTCACATTATTATCGTAACTCATATACACATTTTAAACCTTTTGACATATTAATAAAAATATTAAACTGGCAAATAAAATTTAAAGAAAACTTATTCATAAATCTCAAGTCAAGAATTTTAAGTCTTTCGATACACTGATTAAAAATACTGTTAATAAGCAAACAAGAAACATTCATAAATCATTATAATATTTGCAAAATTCGTCGAATACAGATAGATTTAACCCTTTGTATTCGAGTGGCGAGGCTCGAGTCTGAGGCACCATTACACACAATTGTTACATCACGTTCCAAAATAAGTTTTATATTATCAAAGTTTGGATTTCAAAAATTGTTACAAGCGTAACTGTTACACGAGTCACAAGATTCAATTTCACACGCATGAAATGCACTTCGTCATATAAAATGAAAATACTATAAGTCAGAAAAATGATTTTAGATTCGTAGTTAAAATGGCTTCGAGTACAAAGGGTTAATATTGTGAAAATACTTTCGAAAATAGCGGAGCAATTTCTAGCGTCGTCTCGGAGTTGTCACTCGAGTGCAAAGGGTTGACACCATTTTTACCGAAGTGTACTGTGCGACGCGGTTGGCGTTCGAAAATAAAAGAGCCGATTTTTTAAATTTCATATCTATTTCCGTGGAATAGGTTCACTCTTCCGACGCACAAAAAGCGGAACAAAGACGGTTTTGAAAAATACCCCCATAATGCATGATTTATTCACTAGTAGCCAATTAAATATATACCTTATTATTTACTATGATCTTTTTTACCATTTATTCATTTTGGACACATCGACATGGCTTCTAAATTTATATCGTCGTTTATAATTATTTTGTTGTTCGAAAATATATAATTTTTACAGAATTTAATACACTTAGTACGTACTTAAATTATGTCACAGGACACTTTTTTGTCTCCCACATTTTCTGTGTTATATTCGATTGTTGAATACGTTGAATTTTCATTTCATTTTTCGATTATGACTTCGGCGGAGTTCAGCGTTCGCTTTGATCGCATTTCGACGAGCTACGCTTTACGTTAATGATAAAATAAAAATTGTCTGTACCGCATGGACACAAAGGAGAGATGAGAATTCAGCAGAAGAAATGAATCCGTATATCTCAGTGCGTTCCGACTCGGATAGGAACGTTTGTTTCCCATCGTCTTCCAATCGATTGATAATCGTCGCACATATTCGACGCGGCATTAATGCGCATGCAAATGGTCAATTTGATTCCGGCGGCGTGGATTTTCGTGGAAATGTTCGTCAAAGTTCCACGGCGTTCATACTTTTCGGTGAAATTCCGGCTTTCGTGCTATGTAATACATAATACGTGAGATACATAATACATGGAACGGCAGTCACTTGTTTCAAAAGGTTTTGTTTCGGAAGTTGTCGCGTAGAGGATTATTCAAAAGCTAGTCGAACACGCGAAAAGAGGGAAACAACAAGTATCAGTGCAACGAGACTCGTTGAAATCTCGGTTGCCGCGCGCCCGCGTTAATTCTCTGGCAACCTTGCTGCTCGTAATAATCTTTTCTGCGCTCATTGCCAGGACACTTGAAACGAACCGATATGCCCGTTCACTTATCCACCGTTCGCAATGCATGCGTTGAAACCAGTATTGGAACCGAGTTCGATGTACAGAGTGTCCCAAAAATATTGCGAGCCCTAGATAAGCACGATTCACGTGGTTATTTCAAGGTTATTAGCTTAGCGAAATTTATTTAGCTATTTATTTAGCTAATTTTTATTATTATTTATTATTTTATATTTATTATTATATATTATTTATTATTATTTATTATTTATTATTATTTAGCTAATATTTGTTATTGATTATTTAGCTATTAGCTTAGTCTCTGTGTGACTTTGCCAATGCTCGAACGGCGGACAAAAATAATATAACAGAATATACTTTGGATTATTATATATTATTTATTATTATTTAGCTAATATTTATTATTGTTTATTTAGCTATTAGCTTAGCCTCTGTGTGATTTCGCCAATGCTCGAACGGCGGACAAAAATAATATAACAGAATATACTTTGGATTATTATATATTATTTATTATTATTTAGCTAATATTTATTATTGTTTATTTAGCTATTAGCTTAGCCTCTGTGTGATTTCGCCAATGCTCGAACGGCGGACAAAAATAATATAACAGAATATACTTTGGATTATTATATATTATTTATTATTATTTAGCTAATATTTATTATTGTTTATTTAGCTATTAGCTTAGCCTCTGTGTGATTTCGCCAATGCTCGAACGGCGGACAAAAATAATATAACAGAATATACTTTGGTTCGTTTATAATTTCATTCAGTATTTTTTTACAGTATACACTTCTCAAGTAAATTATAGCATAGAAAATTTCGGATAAAAAGTGACCAACTTTGACAGACGATAACTCCGCGAGAAATCATCATAGAATGATGACTTTTATTTCAAATCAAAGCTTGAAACCTTTACTTTATGGCAATATTCCTGGATTTTAAATTTGCATTTTCGCTCAGGAAAAAGTTACTTCAAATGACCTCAGGAACTCCTCACTACCCCCGCTTGTACAATAATTTTGGGACATCCTGTATAAGTTCAGTCTTATTCTTCTCGTAAAGCAACGCGTCGGTCGGTGCTCCAAGCTTCAATTCCTTTTTATAATACATCAGCAATAAAGACCGTGGATGTTGCACTCTTCAAATCAATTCCGAGAGTCTCCCAAAGGATAAAATATATCTGGACCACCGTGCGACTGTTTGCACAGCTCGAGAAACAATGGGACAAACTTCTAACAATGCGCCCGCTGCCCTAAGTCTGTCGAGTTTGACAATGCTTGGGTAAAATCTATTGAACCGTAGAGGGATGGAACTGCTCTCCCCGGTCGTCTAAAGATTTAGCCACGCAAATGAACGTCAGAGAACAGAGGGAGAGAGAGGGGGTGAGGTGAGGAGAGATTGTGAGAGAGGTCGTGCGAGCGAGAGAAAGATGGGGAGAGAAAGAGAGAGATAGCGAAGGGATGAAGCGTATTATCGATTCGCCGGGGGAAAATCCATGAAACTGGGTCTTAGTCGCGGAAGCGTTTCATTTAAATAATTTCATGCGTGGGTACCTTTCATTCCTCTAAACTGAATGCCGGCAGTATACCGGGCCGGGGGTGTTCATTTGACATTCATTTAGTCGGCGAAGTCGCGCGACGACGCTACGCGACAGCCATTTAGGACAACCGAGCGAAATCCTCTCGGGGGAGGTGAAACGTAATCATCGGAAAACAAGCGTCTTATTTTTTTCCCCCTTTTATCTCTATTAGGAGAAACGAGGCCCCGGGAATTAGATTTTACACTTTTCTCTATCCTTTTTTCTCTCGGCCTTTTTTCATTCTACCCGGAGACTTATTTGCGCAATAAATTGCTACCAGACCCCCCGCCCGCTCTAAAACCCCCTCTCGTGGGGGTTGTTTCTGAATGCGTGCGGAACGCAGCTGCAGGCACTCCTGAAGTATAGGGATGAAATTAATTGCTGCACGGAGAGAGTCCGCGGGACAAGAAATTGCGCGAGCTCGGATTTATAATATAACGAGAAATTAAAAATTTTTCGACCGCCCGGATACGGGGTCTCACTCAGCCATTAAACTTTTCCGTTTCGCAACGCGTTGTCGGTCCCTGCTGCGAATTTATAATTACGGTTGCGGGAACGTGTGTGATTCGATGTTCATGATATAACGTAATTGGTTGACTGCGGATTTTCATGCGAAATTGTGAGCGAGGACCTCGATGGTTCTATTTTTTCTTCTTTTTTTTTTGTGCGCGCGAATCGCTCCGGTGTGCGACGGAATTCGCGCAGCGTAGCGTTCACGATGCTTTTATAATTGGACACTTAAGGGGGTATTCTGGTGTGAAGTGCGTATTTTTTTTCTTTTTTTAGCTTTGTTAGGGAATTTTTTGCAAAGAAACTGTTGTACCTTTTGCAGTCGAATTGACAAGGTTTACGTGGACGCATTTCAACGTCGTTCGGCAATTTTTTGGAACGAGAAAGATTAAAATTACTGCATACTTTCAAACGTTTCCGGAATAAAAATACGTGAAAATGGTTCAAATGAGGACCAGTTTTCCGTAATTACTACAACAAATATTGTACGATTTTACACCATAAAAATTGTTATTAAATTATGTTAACAACCACAAAAAAATAATTGTTGACGCCACGAAGCCAAATAATGAACACCGCGAAAACTGGTCGCAATTAACACGAGAAATTAGTCACAATTGACGCCACGAGAAAAAAAACAGTTGTAATTAACATCACAAAAATTGTTGCAGGCGGTTCGAAGCGAAATACAAAAGAGGCTGCCGAAAGAATGGTCCGAGGACGAAGTTGCTCAACTGACAGAGCTCTGGGAGCTGCGGAAAGACGACGACGGTAATTTTTTCTTTTTTTTTTAACAACTTTCACCCACAATACAACTTCGACCCTGCCTTGAAACGGTCGAGGAATTTTACGAATGCTTACCCGGGAATTCATTAGCACCCGCGACGATTCTCGAGATTTAATTAAGCTCCGGGCACATCTGTAACGGCTGGCTGTGCCGACTATACCAATAATTCGCACGAAGAATAATATCCTCGGCTGATAGGATTTTCCAAGCGGTTCTGTAAGGAACTTGCTTCATTTCCGTACGGGGACTTCCGCGTCTTCCGCAAAATTGTTTTCCCGTTGACCCCGCAAAAGTTTCGAGGACGCTACTAATTTTCGCCCCGCGACGCGGCGACGCCGTCTTAAGTTTTATTTCTCCTCTAAGCCGATTGTTGCTTTTTGCGAACGGCAAACATTCTTTCGGTAAACACCACAGAACCGTGCCTAGACTGCAGATTTTTGCGAAAATTCACTGTTGCTGATGTTTATTTGTAAAAACGAATGTGCATACTCTGAGAATTTCATATCATTTGCCAACAAAATGTTTCTTGAATTCTATGTTAATATTATTGAAGTCAGCGATATTAACTCTTTGCTCTTGGAGATTTTTAAATTCCAGAACGAAGACATTTCTTTTGACCTAATATTATATTATATTATTTTTTTATTCTATGTAGTTTTCATTTCTGTATATACTTTTCTATATACTTTCCTATATATTTTTATATACTTTTCTGTATATTTTTCTATATACTTTTCTGTATATTTTTCTATATACTTTTCATTTCACGTCTGTATTTCTTAAGCACTGTGATAATAATATACAAATTTTTAATGTAAACCGTTTAACCTCCAAAGCAGAAATATTTCTTCTTACCTAATATTCATTTCATATACATAGATGATATGTAGTGCATCTACTCATATCACATTTAAATTCATTAAATACACGCAAGATCAGTAATTTAAAGATTGCTTTCAATTGTGTCATTGCAATGTAAATTAGCGTCATTTTCAGCGTTTATTATTTTTAAAAATCGCTTCGACAGAATTATCTTTTCTTATCCGTCAAAGACTGATCTTACATTTTTAAACAAATTCATGAAGTGAAGTTGAAATCGTTGCTAGTTTTGT